CTGAATTGTAAAAGTTTTATAAATGCTTGGACTATTTGAGCTGTAAGAGACAAGGAAAGTAATAAGCTTATAATTCTTGAGTTTTACCCATTACAGTACAGAGGCCCATACAAGGAATGTGACTTCTCCAAAACAACACAGACAGCTTCTGAGCCAAGCTTGGTCAGATAGCCTCCTTTAAATGTTTAAAACTAATTCTGAAGAAATGGTATGATGTCTTAGATCTGCTTTAAATTAATTCAGTTCATTTTGAGGGGCTGAAATATGATGGGCAGTGAGCCAATCATTTTTGAAACCGTATGACAAGTCCACTGGGGTCATGATAGTATTCTGTGCAATTATGTTTTAATTTCCCATAATGAAAAGTTTAAGTAACTCCTAGAAACATAAGCGGTAAAGATTTCAAAGTAAGTGGCAAATCTGTCAAACTTGTGGCCCCAAAACTGAATTATAAGACCTGAAGTAGATGATTGATGAACTGAGTTTATTTAATGTCACTTGGCTATGACCGCTGAGGTTTTTAAACAGTTTTTCATCATGACTCTAATATAAGATGCATGTTTCTGATTAGACACACTAAACTATCCAAGCTCAGAAACTGAACAAACAACCCACTGAATTAATTAGCACTTAAAATACATTTGGAAAATTACATTTGGAATAAAATTAATTCTTTAAATAAAAAAAGAGGCAGATTTTCCATAACATGTGCATGCACAGCACATGTTAATGGGCCAGCCAAGTTTACTACACAGTGATTATAACCATCTGTATAATTAAAGCCCTTAAAACAAGTAGAAGCACGCAGAGGTCAGCAGCTACAAAACAAACCTAACAAATCACACTGGCTACTTAAAAATTTAGGAAGAGGGGCGCCTGGGTGGCGCAGTCGGTTAAGCGTCCGACTTCAGCCAGGTCACGATCTCGCGGTCCGTGAGTTCAAGCCCCGCATCGGGCTCTGGGCTGATGGCTCAGAGCCTGGAGCCTGTTTCCGATTCTGTGTCTCCCTCTCTCTCTGCTCCTCCCCCGTTCATGCTCTGTCTCTCTCTGTCCCAAAAATAAATAAACGTTGAAAAAAAAAAAAAAATTAAAAAAAAAAAATTTAGGAAGAAAAACTAAATGTAGTATATAACATTCACTGATAATTTATGTAACACCAAACACATATCTAAGATATGTATCTAGGATAGGATACTCCAATATGGAGTTTAAGGGATAAAACATACCTAAGAACACTAAATGAAATCAGCATTAAAAGGGACTAGCAGGCCGACAATGTTTTTATAAACTATTGTAAACAACCATTTTTAAGGCCATAAGAAGAGGGAAAAAAAAAAAAAAAGAATTCTTAAGACAATCCAGAGACAAAACCCTAATTTACCAGACACACTATCCCAGCAGTATTTCTGGTGGGATTTCTTTACGATAGTAACTTTAGAAAATAATTTGGAAAATAAATAAAATTTAAAACAGATATAATCCTCTTACCAATAATAACCACTTTTAATATCTGATTTATTTACCTCCAGCCTTTTGTTTTTTCAGTCTTTTTTCTATATACACATTAATGTATGTTATCTTTTTACTTTGTAAAACTGGAGTCATGTTATAATTTTGCTTCCTTCTTTTTAAAAAGATTTTTTTTAAGTTTATTTATTTATTGTGAGAGAGAGAGCCATGGAGGGGCAGAGAGAGAGGGAGAAAGAGAATCCCAAGCAGGCTCCATGCTGTCAGTGCAGAGCCCAACGTGGGGCTCGAGCTCACAAAACTATGAGATCATGACCTGAACTGAAATCAAGAGTTGGTCGCTTAACTGACTGAGACATCCAGGCACCTCTCCTTCTCTTTTTCACTTAACAACATATCATAAGTATTTCCTTAGCTCACTAAGTATTTCTCAAACACAGGATTTTTAATGTTTTTATATGGTATAGTAGTCCCTCTTACAGAAGTATCATAATTTATTTGACCAATAATCTGCTGCTAAACACTTAATCCAGATTTTTTGTTTTACAATTCTAAGTAACATGTTTGGGAAAACTCTTGCATATAATTTGTCTACATCTTCGATTATTTTCTTGGACCTGATTCCTAGAAGTGGAATGTGCTGAGTTAAAGGTTTGAACTTTTTAAACCCTTGATGCATACTACATTCCAGGAAAGTTATACCAATTAACACATCCATCAACAATATTACTACTTTTCACCACCTGTATACTTCTGACCAGAATCCAAACACAGATAATAAGCCTCGGCCCCAAAACAGAAAAAAGAAAACCTTTCCCTTCGTAAACAGAGGCTGGATTATAAATACACAGACCTGAGACACCGAAAGCAGAGGGGGCTGCCTGGGACCCACGGCCCCAGAACTGCTGGCTCCAGTCCCGATGAACCAGCCAACCAGCCGCAGCTCCCCTGCACTGACCTACCCCTCTCTCGCCTCAGGGCCTCTGTGTATGCTGCTCCCTCTGCTGGAACACCTCCACCACCCTTTTCACAGCCCAGATTAAATAAAATACTCCTCCACTCTGTTTCAACAAGACCCTGGGTTACCTCTACTTTAGAAATTATTTCATACACTGAATTGTAATTAATGGTCCATCTCCCACACTAAACCATGATTTCCTTTGGGGCAAGGGCTGTTTCTTCATTTCCTGCTGTGTCCTCAGCACCCAGCTGAGGACCTGGGATCCAGCACGGAAGAAAAATTCACTGAATGAATTAATCATGAAGCAGAGGGTCTAGAGCAGGAGTTAGAGAACTTCTGCTGTCTGTAAAGAACCAGACAGCAAACATTTCAGGCTTTGGGGGCCAGATGGCCTCTGTCACAACTGCTCACTCTGCCTCTATAGTGCAAAGCAGTCACAGACAATATGTAAACGAATGGACATGGCCATGTTCCAATAAAACTTTATTGCCAAAACCAGGTGGTAGGCTGGATTTGGCCCATGAACCATAGTTTGTTGCTCCCTGGTTTAAAGGAAGGACCTTTAGGGGCGCCTGGGTGGCGCAGTCGGTTAAGCGCCCGACTTCAGCCAGGTCACGATCTCGCGGTCCGTGAGTTCGAGCCCCGCGTCGGGCTCTGGGCTGATGGCTCAGAGCCTGGAGCCTGTTTCCAATTCTGTGTCTCCCTCTCTCTCTGCCCCTCCCCCGTTCATGCTCTGTCTCTCTCTGTC